AAGTGTGACTTCCTTTTTTCCCAGAGTATGGGTTTATTTTACAGAAAAAAATTGTATTTTCATACTTGAATGTTTATATATAAAGTCAGTTATTGATTAACTAGTGTAAGGAGAAGGTTATGGATAACTTTCTGATTGCATATGCTTAATTTAAAAATCCACAATCCAAAACTTTTTAGCACTGACATGATACTAAAAAAATTTCAGATATTTGGAGCATTTTGGATTTCACATTTTCACAGTAAGGATAATCAATGAGTTAATTCTCTGAAAATATTTAAAATTCTGAAAAACTGAATTATGAAACACGTCTGGTCCTAAACATTTTACAGAAGGGATATTTAACCTTTTGTAAAAAAAATGATAGGTTTAATGTACACTTATTGTTTAAATTACATTTGATTTTTAGAAGGTCTTTTATAGCCCTATAGATACCCATAGTCTATTTGATGTGAACTAATTGTGACAATGACATCTGATACACAGGTACCCTTTACTGTGGGGGTGGCATAATTGAAAAGTCTACAAAATAATGTGAGAGTGATTTGAAGGCCTTAAATGTGACATTAATTGCTGATACTAAAGGGCTATTACTACATGTTAAACAGTGCTTTGTTTCTTCTTTTCATAGCTGAACATTTTTCCAAGCATTAGGATGATGTAAGGTGAGAATATTTGTAGTCCCAGGTCCTGGCTCCCTTTTCCTTCTGTACTCACTTATTTCTTCCCCCTTCCTATCCTGACATAGGAGTCAGGAAACCTCAGGTGTGCATATTCAAGTTATCCTTATCTGGACCCTGGCCAGGGCTTCACCTTCAGGAATAGCTGCTCATAAAGGCAAAGGGAATTTGGGGGAGACTGTCATTGACTTGGCATGGCCTGTTCTATTTCTCTATAAATTTCCACATGTACATACTTTCTAATACATGGCTTCTTCATTGGTATTTTTAAATAAGCGGGCCATTATTTAAATTATGTTTAGTCTGAAATTTGATTAATCTTTTATTAGATAATAAAGATTTGCTTAACCAGGAATGTTACTGAATGTTCCATCCATATACAGACCACTCGGGGCAAATATGGCTAGAGGCAAAAGTTGTTAAATGATTGGATGAAGACAATATATGGAATATTAAGAAGCTTGTGCTTTATGTTTTTAACAAGAAACATTGGTGTATTAGTAGATTTCAAACTCCTGTCTGGTGCTGAGAGTCTTTTTCTGCTGTTGTGATGATCATCACTGAGCTGTTGATGGATCCTAGCTCAGGCTTAGTTATGGTGGTGCTTATATGTCAAATTGATTGATTGATTACTACTGGGAATTGAAACTAGGGCCTTTGCCCTGAGTTATGTCCTTACCTCTTTTAAAAAATGCTTTTTAAATTTTAATACAGGAGCTCCTTAAGTTGCCCAGAGTGTGCTGAAACTTGCTATTTTCCTGCCTCAGCCTCCCAGAGTGATGACATTACAGGTATGCATTACCATACCTGGTCAACATGCCAGATTTATAGTATGATATTATACACCCTAGAACAAGCTGGCTTTTACATACCTGGGAACTAAGTTTAAAGTTTGGCTAACATAAAAACAGATAATGGACAAAGGAGAAAACCTAACATCAGTTTGGACACCTATCAAGTCCTGTGATACAAACAGTAATAAATTCTTACACCAAATCTGAGGCCAGGCTTGTCATCATTCTTGACAGGAGGAAGCTCTGGTTTTCAGTGTTAGGGAAAAGGCTTTGGGGAAATATGGTGAATAGTTGGGAGAGCTCAGATTTCAATCTGTTTAACCTTCTCATCCTTGTACCCTCAAAAGGTTAGTGGGATGAATCTTCATACATGCTTCAGCCATCCCTCTGCTGGGTATCTTTCCAAGAGAACTAAAAGAATCATATCACAGAGAAGTATGTGCACCTATGTTTATAGCAGCACAGTTTGTAATAGCTAAATCTTGGAAACAGCCTATTTGCCCATCCGTTGGAAACTGGATAAAGAAGTTGTGGTTTTTCTATAAAATGGAATATTACTCAGCCATAAAGAATGAGAAAATAGATTCATTCATAGGAAAATGGATACATATTGAAGATATACTCCTAAGTGAAATAAATAAGTCACACATGTGTAAATACCGAATAGTTTCCCTGGTTTAAATAATCTGCAACAATGCATAAGATTCTAATAAGATTATTGACTTAGAAATGGGAAGAAAGGAGCTAAAGGTGTAGGGAAGGTGGGATGGGTAGGGGAAGAGTAAAAAGGGAAAAGAAAAAAATGTGAGAGAATGAAAAGATGAAAATAAAGTGTTTGTAGATGGGGAGACAATGAATGTAACTGTACTGTATCCCTAAAATGTACCAATAAACTCAATTAAAACTGAAAAAAAAAGACTTATGCTGACTGAAATTACTAGTATTTATTTCAAGGTTTCTTTGTCCATCATATGTTAAAATTTCAGGTAATTCTCAATTCACAAATCTAGGTAACTTGCAACAATAAGTATTCTCTTTCCACCTGACACCCTAGGCATGTTATACTTTTCTTTCAGCCATATGGTAGAGTAATTTTTCTGTCCTTGACATATTTACTTAATTAGACTGTAGACTTCTCCGAACCAGAAATTGCCCTTCCTCTCTCTGAGCTCTCTGAAGCCTAGTCCATGGTAAGGGGCCTTTCTCTTAAAAAGTTTTATTTGCAGAATTGAACCCTGAAAGATTAATTGTCTTTTATTTTTTAGTGTTAAAATAAGCTTTATTTAAAAGTATTAAAAACATGATTCCTTTAGGAAAGGAAAGAAAAAAAAACTGACTGCCTCCACCCCCAGATCCATACCAAGATCCAAAGCAGAGTTTGATAATGTTTGGACCTAGGAGGAACAGGATGTTTGAACCACTTGGGCTTTTTTTAGAAAAGTTCATTTTTGGGAGAGGATGGGGAAAGAACCCAGGACCTTCAGCGTTCTAAGCAAGGGTTCTACCACTGAGCTACTGCTCTAGCTCTTGACTCCTCTTTAAAACTATAATTTTCTGGGTCCACCTGAAATCACTGAATCTGAATCTGAGGATGCAGTCTAGGTCTCAGTTGAAAAAAATGTTCCCAAGGATTATTTTTATATGAAACTTGGAGAGCCACTAATTTAGAGTAAAAACTAAGATGTGACCTTGTATTATTTAATTATAGGTATAAGATAAAATATATATTAAAATTATATGGAAAGTCCAGTCAAATGCCAGAATGGTCTGTAAGGTAATCTAAAAATGCTGATTGACAGTGCATTAAATATAATTTTTCCTGCCTTGATGGAAACATATAAAAGGAGTTCCAATTTCAAGAGCAATGTCAACCAAATCCCAGATGCATTTCAGTGGTATTTCCTCAAATCCAGTAAACACGGCCAGATTTGCTGAGTCCTCTTGCAGCCATCACTCCATCTTTCCTAGTAATCTGCTACATATTTTCTGCTTCTTTTAAACTTCTGATGTCTCCATTAGTAATCGCAGGTATAGACGTGCTTTCCAGTATTACTTTAATGGCATCATAGTGGACTGGCTAATGTTTTTCCTCAACAGTTTTTCCATGGATTATAATCCAATTAACTCCTGTTGCTTCAGCCTTTTGACAAAAATCTGCAGTTCTTCTAAGGTCATCATGGATCCTTATCTTAATAGAAACTGAGAACCTGGGGTTTTCCACTTGATTTCTTACTTGTTTCACTATATCTTGAACAAGCTCTGACTTATTTATTAAGCAAGTTCCATAACCTTCTGCTGTTGCCCACTTCTGAGGATAATCACAGTTAATATCTATTCCATTCGCATAAGGACACATTGTATGGGCAGCATCAGATAAAAGTCTTGCATCATTCAGAGCAAACTGAACAATCAGTGGGCATCATATTCGGTGGTCAATTCAATGTCTCTGGCTTTTATAGATTTGACAAAATCAGCAGTAACTATCATTGGTGTGTAACACAAATCACAACAGTATCTTCTTACTAGTGTTCTAAAAGCCAACTGCAAGAAAGTTCTGGCCTCTCACAAGGGGTACTGTGATTGGAGTTGTGGCTGGGGTGGCTCTGATAGGTGCCCTGGCATATTTCTTGTTTTTCAAGTAGATGGGTGGGTTTAGATGCCACTGACAACTCTCCTGGCAAGGTGGATGAAATTGCACATTCTTTACAGAACTTCAGTACCTTTGAAGAGCGAAGCATTAGTACACAGACTTTATCAGTGGCCCAGGCTGAAGAATTTCTATTGCATCTTTTAATCTTTCTTGACATATTGTGGTTTGTATGGAGTCACCCTTCATGAATACACATTTGTTTCAAATGTCCTTCACCTGGGTGCACTGAAGATGTGCTGGGGTACAGGTTGGTATGTGGCTCTGTTTCTGGCAGGAGTCAGAAGACAGCACAGGCTGGGTGGTCTCATCCTCCTCTCTGTCCTCCTGGAATGTTGGGCCTTTATTCCCAGGTCCTCTGTGCTTGTCACCTCTGGTACCCATGAGACCCAGGTCATGCTGGCTTGGCGTGGCCTTCTTTTCTTTTCTTTTTTAAAAAAAATATTTTTATTGGTACATTTAGGTATACAATATAATGACATTCATCATTGGAGATTTGTACCTTTACATAATATACCCAGATTATTAATTTTCCCCATTCCCCTACCCTCCTTTCAACCCCTCCACCCCTCTCTGTTTACCAAGACTTTGTTTCCATTTTTTCATTTTCTCGTGTTAATTCCATTCCCTTCTTTCCTTTTTCCTACCATTCTTACTTCTCCTTTGCACCTTTTCTTCCTATGTCACATTATCTATTATACATTTTTATCCTTATTTCCACTTTTAGCTTCTCATACTAGAGAAACTGTTCTGTATTTACACATGTGTGTTCCATTTATTTCCTCTGTTTATGGTGGAGATGGGTTACAATTCACTATCTGTGGCATTCTCTTTTGGTGAACTGAGAATTTTTGTTTTGTTTTGTGCTCATTTTGTCAGATTTAAAGAAAGCCTCCAGTTCAAATGCTGCAAAATCTAATCTACCCAAATCTGGGCTTCGTCCTCCTGGATACTCACGTCTTCCAGCTGCCAAGCTGGCGGCATTTGGCTTTGTCCGGAGCTCCAGTGTCTCCTCGGTTTCCAGCACTCAATCTGTGGACAGTGCACAGCCTGAGCAGAACCGGCCAGTCACCCGTGAGTGGGGCAAGAGGGGAAAGGCAGGTGGGCATACACCTGAGCAGTTCTCTAGGAGGCCTGACTGTGTGCTGAAGACCCATCAGTATTCCTGGGTCCCTGTGTGTAGTTTTCTTTGCCTGATTAATTAAGAATACAGATAGACTCTTTTAATCTGTCCTTGTTATTTGTTATTACTGCCTTTTAATGTTCTACTTAAGAAAAGTAGCCAATTTGACCCTATTTTCTTAGTCATAGGGAATTAATTCACAGGGAAATTATCACAGTCTTATGATCTAGAAAATGATTTACTTGGAAGACTGATTCCAGAAGCCCTTTATTCAAGGGTTCTAGGTAAGAAGTCACAGATTCACAAAAGTCATTGCTACATTGAGCTATCATGAAACATATTAGGTATTAAATATTTGTTGAACAAATCATTTAGTGATTATTTTTTGTTTATTCCCAATGACTTCATATCGATGCAACACTCAATTAGACTTCTTAAAGTTATCTAAATGGTGTTAAAATGGATAAGCATGGCTGAGCATCTTTAAGTCCATGGCAGCTAAGTCTCCACAGTTGAGACAAAATCACTTTAGGTGTTATTTCCTGAGACATGTTGTAGGCTGTATTTAAAGGTGTACATTGCTAGCTCACCAAGCAAGTCACAACAGCCATAGTTCCCGAGGGTCCAGAGATTGATTATTTGACTGAGCTTACCAACCCCATTTTAGCCCATCAAATTCAATTATTTTTATGGAACTGACACCGTAGATCTCAGATGTTGGTGACCAAGAACTGAAGAGGTGGGAAAAGCTGAAGAGGATTTTATGTGGAGAGCTGCTTTGAAGGAATTATAGAAGTTGAATTGATATGCAATAATAGGGGAGAAAGGAAAGAGAGAAGAGAGAAGAGACAGTAAATACTTTTCTTTTTCAATTTCACTTCTTTGTTCATTATGTGGCCTTTCTTGGGACTAGAGACATGATGTGTAAAACATTCGTATCTTTACAGTTTTAAATTTTGGTCTACCTAGTTATTCCAGAATCCATATGTTACATTTTTCTATACCTTGATGTGGTTGGAAGTGGTTTCTAAGTGTATTTTCTTTGATTTCTTGGTTTTCTGAAGGTGGCTAAGATCTGCTTCCATGTAGGATTCATTTTAGGAATATCACTATAATTAAGGATAACATCATTACATAGTAGCTACCTGAAAATCTGAAACATAAATGTAATAAAGAATTTGTAAGTGTGGAATCCATTTTTTGTATATGCCCATGCATATTAATAATCTAAAGATTTTGAAATACAGGAGCAACTACTTCTCATCCTTTTTAGTTATAAAAGAAGTAATGACATTTCTTCTCTTTTAGAGAAAACATGAAAAAAATCTGAGGATATTTCTTTCCAAAAAAAGTTAAGTTTTTGATATCTTAGGAAAAAGAAATTTCCTCAAAGTGATATAAGCCATATCCCCATAATAACAGCTTTTGTTAAAAAATAGCTAAGAAAGGTGGGCAGAACAATTCTAGAGATGCTTATGCTAGTCCCATCTCTACTTCAAGGGATACTACCTAGGGACCCCTTCCATATCCGGGGGAACAAAGCCTGTTATGTACCAGAGAAAACAATGCCTATTTAAAGACTTTATATTAAAATTGATATTTGTTCTTCAAAATTCTTTTGTTTTAAAAAATGGTGTTCAAGAATTGATTTATAATTATTTGCTGCCTGCTATATATAAAATTTGTGCTTTATAAATAAACCACAGAAAAACTTTGCATGTACTTGAATTGATGTCTGAGTACCATCAGTCATTATAACTAAAGTTATTATAGATTTAAAGTCAAGAAAAATTGTGTTTGTCTTCTGTAGTGGAGAGACAGACCAATTGTAAGTACAATATGAAGCTCTTTAGAGACATGGAAGTTCTTAGATCATATCCTAGTATCAAAGCTTTGCTGGTTCAGCTTGTGGAAACAGTCTATGTGATAAAAGATTTGGCGGCCTCCCCCTTTCCCCTCCTCCTCCTCCTCCTCCTGTTCTTCTTCTTCAATTATATGCAGACATCAGACATTATAGTCACATGGGATTCATTTTTGGGAAAGTTACTGTCACTGGAATTATATCATAACACAGTAGATATCTCAAAATTGGACACATGAATATTCTTACAAGTGTGTAATTCATACTTTCAGGCGCTTGTTCTAATATACACTTCTGAACAATGTTCACACTGACTGTTGCATACTATATTTGGGATACTTCTAACTAATGCATTATCAATTGATTACTATCTTGTAGGCCATCTTGGTCCAACTGCAGCTTGTTGCCCAACTCTTTTGTTTTTCTGGGTCTTGAGGACAAGTGATGATAAATGTGAAGATAGAACCTAATGTAGCCCCCTCACAAATGTGGTGTCAGGGGCCATTTTGAACTCAGCTGTTCAGCATGGACTCTTCTGTCTGCCCTTAGCTCAGGTTCTGTGCCATTAGTTCAATCACGGTAGGCAGAGGCTAAGTCAAGTACTTTTCTTTGTCTTTGTACTATTTCCACATATTTTTGGCAAATGGAACAGGCATACAGAAATGAATTATGTGCACAGAGAAATGAATTATGTTCATAGGTTATTAGAACTTTAAAGGTGTTTGGCCATCATATTTTCTCTTTATGATTGTCTAAGACCAGGAATCACGAGGCAAAGAGTTTGAAAAGAGAAGTGAAAAATAAAAATTAAGGATTTTCTCTTATCCTCTTTTCTGGTAAAGAAAATCAATAGAATGACAGGGCAAGTGGGGTGCAGCTGAGGAAGTGACAAAGAGGCTGACATTTGTTTACATAATCAGGGCACAGGATAAGTGTTCTCAGAGCCTAGGAAATGGTGCTAAGTTGAGGGCTGGAGGCTGATGACTAATTCCTGAACAGGTAGCCAGGGACTTTTTCAGAGAGTGTTATAAACTAGGCAGTGTTTGGAAAACTGGAGATAGGCTCTAGGAGATCTTCTAAGGAGACAGGCTATTGGTGTGTCCAGAAAGCCTTCTGCATTTCGAGAAGTTCCCATCACTGGTGCTGTTCACTGTGATGGGTCTCCATGAGGCCCACGTATCCGAATTTCTCATAGTTTGCTCTCAGAGTGTGTGTATTTGACCTTTGCCTTGGTTAGCTCATTCATAGCTGTCAGCACTTTGAACACGTTGCTATCTTTTGTCTCTCCAGCCCCACCTCTTTCTGGAAGCACTCATCTCAATTCTGCATGCTCCACCACATATTTCCAACCAGGTGACCCAAGTCACCTCCAATTGAATATTTTCCCAAAAAAACCCAGATTCTGTTTGGTTTTATAAACCAACATCTCATTTCAAAGCTGCTCTATCTTTTAACAATGTCTGTGATTTGGCAACTCAAGCTGAAACTTGCAGAATAAGAATTATCTGTTACCTGCTTTTTTGTGTTCTTTTCTACTCAATAATCAATTCTGGTTAATTATCTTTCTTTGGCATATACTACATAATTTTTCTTTCCTCATTATCTTACTTGAAATCTGTGATAGCTCTCATCTTGAGCTGTTACTGGCATATCTTGGCTCTTTCTATAAGACACACAGTCCAAAACAGCTTTCCCTTTGACCTTGGTTTGATTGTTCCGTGGTGCCCTGGTGTCTACTTCAACTCTTTGCTAGACATTCTTGGTACTCCATGACCTGGGCCTGCCTAATCTGTTTCCATATTTCCTGTACACCATCTCCCAACATGCAGTTTTTTTGTTAGATAATGAGGTGTTCACATTTTTCTTTGAGTGCTTGCAATTTCCTGCATTTGAGTTTTAGACTCTTCTCTAGAACACATTCCTCTGCTATCTCCTATCTTTCTCTGTAGATTTCAGGTGCACTTGAAATTCCTCTAAAAAGCTAACCCAGTATGATCTTTTTCTCTTGGGAATTCCTAGAGCTCCTTTCTTGTATCTTTTGTTATCATATATTTACCTATTGTGATTTGTTTTGTGACTTCACTGTAGATTATAAACTCCTTGAACATAGGGTTTTACTAATTTTAGCAGTTCTTACACTAAGGAATACCATCCTTCACCTTAATTTTAAGGAAGTTTTTTCCCAAAAGAAATGTTGTCTCCTCCTCCTCCCCCCCCC